GGTTTTGTTTTTATTTCAACATTAAACTTGGTTTTGTTTTTATTTCAACATTAAACTTGGCTTTGTTTTTATTTCAACATTAAACTCGTTTTGTTTTTATTTCAATATTAAACTTTTTTGTTGTTTTTATTTCAACATTAAACTTGTTGTTTGTTTTTGTTATTTCAACATTAAACTCGTTTGTTTTTATTTCAACATTAAAATTGTTTTGTTTTTATTTAAACATTAAACTTGTTTGTTGTTGTTATTTCAACATTATACTTGTTTGTTTTTGTTGTTTTTTAATTTCAACATTAAACTTGTTGTTTGTTTTTTGCAGCTTGTGGCCTCGTCTCTGGATGGACATCAGACGATGGAGATGAGACCAAACTTTTAAACCACAGGATTCAAACTTTGCTGCTGCTTCAAAGATTTTATTTTCTTGCTGAAACTAAATCATATTTGATGATAAAATAATGTAGCATAACGCGCTCCTCCTTTTTAAAGCCCATCTTCGATGGATTATTTTTACCGTGTTTCTTTGCTGATTTTCAACTTTGTGTTCAAATGAGAAGACGGACGTTTGCCTCCGGTTTTCACCGCAGCTCGTTTGTTTGAAGCGATCTGACTGAACTGAGTCCCAACATTTCACCAGGATGAACGGCTCTCTTTTAACCCCGCCCAGCCCGCGGGCCGCCAACTCTTCCCCTTTACCTCCATCGCCCTCCCCGTCTCCGTCCCCCCCGTCCCCGTCTCTGTTGCCCCTATCCTCCAGACCTCCACCCCTCCCACCTCTGGTGAGCTCGCCTCCCCAGGCTCACCCGTCCTCCCTGTCTGACACCCCAACACCATCTCCCTCCCCTTCCCTGAGCTGGACTGAATTCTGTGAGCTCCACGCCCGTGTTGCCGCCGGAGACTTTGCTCGCCATTTTCGAGCATTTCTCCTGGAAAATCCACACTACACCACGGACTCTGCGGCTGCGTTCTGCCGGCGCTTCACCGACCGCTTTGTTCGCCACTTCCAGAGCGAGCTGGAGGGGGCGCTCCCGCCGAGTTGCGCTCCTTGCCGTGATGAGATGGTGAGCTGGGCTCCCCCGTCAGACGCTACCTCCCTGGAAGAGGAGGCGGTCTCGCCTTTGTCAGGAACTGGTGGGATGGGCCTTCCAAGCACCTCTTTGACCTCGGCGAGGGTCATGTCCAAGCCCACCCCATCACGGCTGGTGTTGGAGAACCGCAGCGGGGACCGCTTTCAAGATTCTTATGCTCACAGCCAAGTCCTTCCCCCTTCCTCTTCGTCGTCGTGCTGCTCCTCAGTGGGAGGGAACAACGGGAGGCGGGAGGAAAGGGGCGCCATGCTCGGCCCAGGAAATGGTGAAGCTCCTGTTGAGGAGGAGGAGGAGGACAGCTGGCTGGGCGTGGCTTCAGTTGAGGAAGACGTTGAGCCAGAAGAGCGAGAAGCAGAGTCCTCAGAGGTGGACCACGCAGACTCCTCCCACACTCCTCACCTCCCTCTCTCCTCCGTCACTCCTCCACTCAGCTCCAAAGGTAACGGTACGCCCAATTCCTCCAAAAACAAACTGAAGAAGCGCTTCTCGCTGCGGAGTGTAGGCCGGAGTGTGCGAGGGAGTGTCCGAGGAATCCTCCACTGGAAGAGCTCGTCCAGTGACGCCTCCCCCACCCCGCTGCCCTCCAGCTACAGCTACACCATGGGGGTGCAAGAGGCCAGCCTGGCCTCCAAGAGGAACTCTGCTACTCAGCCTCCTACACCCACCTCCTCCATGCCCATGTCACTGTCCATGCCCCTCACCCTTCCTCACTCCTCCTCCTCCTCCCTGCCGCCCTCCTCCTCCAGCAGCGCCACCTCTCTGTCTCTGTCTGAGGCCGCTCGGGACCGCAGGAGGAGCAACGGAGAAGGAGGCGAGAAGGACAAGTGGAGCCATCGTCTGGAGAAACTCAGATTGTCACGATCGCCTCCTCCCATCCTCACGCAAACCACCGTCACCTCCTCGCTGCCTCCGAGCAGCGCCTCTGCCATGGGTCCTCCCAGGAAGGTGGGCCGGCTGGTGCGAGAGGGCGGAGTCAGCGTCAGCTCGTCCAGCGACGAACTGGGTGGTAGCCACGGCTTCTCGGGCTTCTCGTTCGGTCTGCTGCATCACAGTACGGACAACAACATGACCCCATCGTCGGGAGCCGCGGCAGGTCCAGTTCAGCCTCTGGCCAGTGGGGGAAACTTGCCCTGGAAGGGGGGCCGATGGCATAAATGTCGCCTGGTCCTCAGAGAGAGGGACCGAGAGGGTGGCGAGCGGGGAGAGGAGTATTACCTGGAGTTCTTCATCCCACCTAAAGTAAGAGTTTCCTCTTCCTCTCTGATAATTTTCTGCTGTTCCGTAGAGCCAAACACTTCCTGCAAACAGAACTACACTTCCTTCATGAAACATGAAGAAACAGAACTTAGAGTCAGACAGAGACAGAAATCATGTTTATTGTACACGGTAAACTCCAGAGAGATAAACAGAATATTTCAACTGCATGAAAGATTTTTCTCAATTCAAAAATATAAGTTTTGACTGTTTTGAGTTGAAGTATAATGATTTTTGACAAAGTTCTGTTTCTTCTAAATCCACTCATCAAGGCGGTAAAGAGCCAAACGTTAAATCATCTCAAACTGTGGCGGCTGGTGTAGTTTTCCATAGGGGGCTATAAATCCAAAATAGACACACACATATACACATATATATATATATATTATATATATCTATATATATATATATATATATATATAGATATAGATATAGATATATAGATATATAATATATATATATATATAGATATATATATATCTATATATATAGATATATATATAGATATATATATATAGATATATATATATATAGATATATATATATATA